GGGGGTTGAAGAACGACAATATTTTACAGGATGGAGGGAAGACATATTCTAAATGCAACTCATTGTAACCTCTAAATAGATCTGCAGCACTAAGGGTATTATGCCAACAAATGGTGATTTCTTCCTCTCTCCCTAACAGAAATTCAGAATTGATGCCTTTCCTTCACCTTCTTTTAATCCAAAAATTACATTCAAGACTAATATGTAACTAGTTTAGTTCTATTTCTTGCAGGATGCATGAGGGGCCTGTTACTTGCTTAGCTTTTACTGATGACCAATTGCTTGTTAGTGGTTCCTCTCTTGGCACCCTATCACTATCGGATCTTTCTTCTGATCAGCGAGTTGTTCTGCTTGGATCAACCTTTTCTGCAGGTTTGTGAAATATATTTTGTCAGATCCACAATACACTGATAACTTATAGAACGATGCCTCTACACCCCTTGCCGTTGATTTCTCTTGCCTTAATACCCATGAACGCCTGCGCAGTTTGTTCTCTTTTTCAGTTTTCCTTTTTTTAAGTCTTTTTCCTTTTTCTTTTTTGAGATGAGTAATGTAAAACCTTTAATTTCGAGGAGAAGATGTTAACCACCGTATTTTCCAAGTATATTGCTTTATTTTTGACTTAATATAGAAAGTATTCTGGTTTAGGCTTTTCAAACTGGCTTCTAATCAGCACACTTGCGAGGGCTTTCTAGTGTCAATCTTTGATTGCAAGTGAGCAAATGCTTTACACGTTTTTTACAGATTATCTTGTTCTTTCTTTTAGAATCTTGATTCTCTTTCTGATCTGAATTCTTATTTGTTTTTCTTTCTCTGCTTTGTTATCTCTTGCCACAGGCATCAAGACTTTATGCTCTGACTCTAGCTCAATTATATTATGTTTGGTCTTTTTTTGGGAATATTGCTTTTCTCTTTGTAATCTGATTTCTTATTTGTTTTCTTTCTTCGTTTCTGAATCTCTTCTGACAGGGATCAAGACTTTGTGTTTCAACCCTAGCTCCTATATGGTGTTTGCTGGATCAACTGCTGGAAATGTCTCTTGTTGGGACCTCAGGTTTGCTGAAATGACTAAAACATGAATCAACATTCTTACATGTGTTTTTTTTTACGCAACCCAGCCTTTCTCATCTTGTTCCATGCTTTCTGTGCTAGAGTCAGTTTTCGATCCTTAGACAGTAGCTTCGTCAATCCTTTTATATGCTGCTGCAGTTGTTAAGGGTTAATTAGGGATGTCTCGTATTCGTAAAACTTTCGAGTCTGCTTATGTTTGATGAGCATGACAAAAGTTGCTCAATCTCTTCGAATAAGTCTCCCCAGATTGCATCCTTCAGTTTCTAAATATTTACTCTAGTTTCTGTGGAATTTGAGTTGTTGTAAATGCCATTTTAGCACCAGTACAAAATTTCTGAGCCGTGGAAGCAGCCACTAATGCTTGCATTAGGGTAGGCTGTCGACATCACACT